TTTTGAAGATAACGAGTGATACTTGTGCCTTTTCCACTACGGAAGTCAGAGAATGCTTTGTTATAAGTGTGACCCAACGCCAAGAGAACGGACGCAAGGATGTTATGAAATTACGAGAAGAATTGAGAAGGTTCGTATTGGCCCCTCTTGACAGAAATCTTGGGGATATATAACACAAAAATTCCCACGAGAAATGAAAGTTGAAAAAACATTTCATAAAAAAAAATATTCTTCATATCTACAAATTATCATTCCAGTGTTTGTCCAATTATAAAATTTCTTATTTTATTTGATAAGTTCTCGTCTAAATATGAGTTTTCCCTTCCAACTACATCTATTTGTTCAAGATCAAATAAAATTCTGAACGAGTTTATGAAATGTTTTAATTAAAATTTTATTCTACTACAACAAATATCTTCTAATTTATATTGGATTAACCTATTTATGATTGAAAATCCTTATTTAGAATGACAGTCTAATTAAAATATTTCATGAACTCATTCCATCTCTAGCACATAGTTTAAACAAGAAGGGATATCTTTTTTTTGGAAGGGAAGTTTTCAAGAAAGACGGAAAATTTTAAAATTGGAATGACATTTTTTAAGATGAAATTAAAATTTAAAATTTAGAATGTAATTTTACTATATAATGATTATTTAATTCTTGAATATTTTTTTGTTGTACTAATTTTGTACTAACAATTGTATGATAGGGGGATGAAGGAGACATTCCTGACAAGTGATGAATATTGAATCTGTTCCGAAGACGAACTTGATATTCTTGCACTGGTCAAACACGAGATGTATCAAGTGGACCTGTATGTCGAGGAAAATAAAATTCAAAAGGCGGAATCGGGTGTGCATATTCATTATCTAAGCACAAAAATACTGAAAAATATCGCTCGATTTGCCCCACGTTTATTGAACCTTCGATCAAGGCATGCAATACTGTATTAGCTAAGGGGATTAACTGTTTGTTGTATTCGCTTCAAGAGGCAACTCACTTAAATCTGAAGTAAGTTTCAGGGATGAAGGGTAAGTTTCGCAATATCAACAATCGATTGGGAGGAGTAGACGAAATGTAGAGATCGTAGGTGCACAATTTGATATCAAAGATATGTTATGTCGCCTTCCCCATATGACGACCATGTCAATGATGAAATGGGTGGTCTGGTGGTTTTCATAGAAAGGGTATGATGGTGTGTTTGTCCACAAGAGATGACGAGATGCTCGCCTAAGTAAATGTCAACGGATGGATGGGTTTGCATTCATGTCTTACAATTACCTGATCAATTTTGTTGCCTTTGATCTTGAATTTTGTTTTACCAAGGCCTGTGAAATCTTGATTCAACAGATCATAGGTGTTCCAGTCACCCTTTGACTTGCCTGATGTGTGCAAAACATGAATGGGATTTCATCATTTCGCTCGGAAGTCAGAAATGAATCTTTGTTGGTTTGCGTTTTGTTGTCGACGTGTCCGTCTTAAGAGTGTATAATAGGAAGAAATTGGGCGACAAAGAGAGAGCGAAAGAACTTTTCAAGTGCTTCGAAAGTTGCTATGACCAAACATTGAGAATTCAAACAAACTGATGAAGGGGAGGATGGTTGAAATTTTTAGGATGTAGACCGACGATCATACAAAATTTTCCTTTTCCGAGTTTGGTGTGAACTATGAAGAATGATCAATAACTATGAAATGAGGAACTCCCGGTCCGACTTCTAAAAAACAATGGGGAGGTACTAGTGGTTTAACAATTTCTTTTTTTTTGTGAAGGTTACAAACTGATATTTATATCTGATCAACGTCGTAGGGGCGAATGACCAGACCCACAGTTATTGCTGGCAGCGGGCAGCGAATGGTCGTCCTGACGGGGTGGGGACACCTCCCAACCCATCCTCATGTCAATACTCCTAGCGCACCCGCTATCCCTACTATCCTACCGTGACCTCAATGTGGCCAACACTCAGGACCATCACCTTACCCGTATCGAGGACAACTTGGACCGAACAGGCATGACAAGCACCAGGGTTGCGCGGTACCCAACCCTAGTGGAAGCGGAAGCGGACACTGACGAACCTTCCCGTACGGGAACTTCGGACGCCAAACTCATACGATCTTCTACATGCCCAAGTTGTCAGAGATTCTACCCGATAAGCGGCTACAAACACCTAGGCAAGGCAAGCTGGCGCCCACAGACACATCCTACCGTCCTTCCCCTAACTTACCCAAGGTTGCCGGAGCTACTTAGAGCAGATCCCCCTTGATAGCTCTTCTAGTGTTTTTGTTCCTTTTTTTTTTTGACGGGGTTGCAGGCAACCCGGCTAAGCAGAGACCCCTACCCCCCGCTCAGCCCCAGCTGAAGCACGATTGCATGGGGACTCGGGAGCGGTAGTAGACCGGAAAACGGGGACAGGGCTAACAACGTGGCTTGCCCTTTGGCAGCTACCATAGATCAGTGAGCCAGTCTGCTATCTGTTGTACTACGCCCTACACACACGCACACACTCTCTCTCTCTCTCTCTCTCTCTCACACACACACACACACACACACACACATACACATACACACACACACGCACACACATACACACACACACGCACATACATTCTCCTGTCTATTGATGGGGAGCGCCGCCTGCTGGAAACTGGGTCCAGAGTCCCATGAACATCGTGAATAAAGCACCAACCAGGACCCCCCACACACACTCTCTTCGAGTTGTATATAGTGAATATGACAAAACATATATACAACATAATCACTACCTTACCCTTCCCGAACCACATAAACAAATGAACTACGGGCTGCGCACCCGTGCACTTAGGGTAAGTCAATACCCAGCCCTAGTGGAAGCGGAAGCAGACACTGACGAACCTTGCCGTACGAGAACTTCGGACGCCAAGCTCATACGATCTTCTACAGGCCCCAGTTGTCAGAGAGTCTACCGGATAAGCGACCACTGATACCACGCTCGGGCGTGGGGGCGCAGCCAGGATGTCCGCGGACGGGCGACCAACCCACGACAGCTTCGCAACACTTTTGTTAGATAACTCACACGAAGCTCGTCAGTTCAATTCACTGTAAGGTAAATGTGTCATTGGAGGTAACTTACCGACATGGCACGGCGAAAAGTAGCTTGGAGGGTTGTCCTTTACCATATTGAGGTGGAAGTGTGGGGATCCGGAGTAGGTGGGTAGTCCCTTTCCACCATTGCAATCACGGCATGACGATCAATTCATAGGCACAGACCAGTTTTCAGAGGTAAGGGGATTAGGGCACTGACTGCTTATGATTCTTTGTGGGGAAAATAGATCATGGCCCAAAACATTTCTCAACCCCTCTTGTTTATCCACTTCAGGCCATTTCTGGCCATTTGCCATAACCCCCTTCTTCTGAACCCCCTTCTTACCCCCTTCCTACCAACCAGGACACTCGGTTAGTTCAGGCCACAGTAGGCCACCAACGTAGCGAAGCTGAGGGCTGTATACACACCCATATTCCTGGCTGCAAACTCCGACGGATCCAACATTTTGGATGCATCTGGACAGCTTCGACGGTCCCATACAATTTGAATTGTTTCTCACAGGAGCTAGGCCCATGATTTGCACAAACGATGAGATTGGATTCGTTGTCGTTGTGGTGGCGGACGGAAGCCGGACAGATGTTTCTTGCGTCGTCAGCTGCTTGTTGCCGATGCCAATTTCCCATCTCCCACACCAAGGGTCTGGCTCTGCAGGAGCAAAAGACGAAAAATATGGCGCTGCATCTTCCCATCTCCTGGGGCAAGATTCATTCTCATTTTGCACATTTGGTGAGTAGTGGAGCGAGGCCCAAGAGATCTGAAATAAGCGCAAAAAAAAAAAAAACCAACAACTATAGGGCAGCGGCGGGGCGGTCAACCTCGCTCCGCAGGCGCAAAAGAACAGAAAGGTCCTTCGGGACATCCGTTAAAATTGGAACGATACAGAGAAGATTAGCATGGCCCCTGCGCAAGGATGACACACATAAATCGAGAAATGGTCCAAATTAAAAATAAAATTAAAAAAGAAAAAAGAAAAAAAAAAACAGAAATATGGCGGTGCATCTTCCCATCTCCTAGGGAAAGATTCATTCTCATCTTGCACATTTGGTGAGCAGTGGATCGAGGCCCCAAGAGATCTTGAAAAAAAAAAAAGAAATAAGAGACCTCGCTGCACTACTCTCAACATGCACACCAGACAAAACTCACGGCGGTGTATCTTTCCATATTCTAGCCGAAGATTCACTCTCGTTTTGCACATTTCGAAAGTTGTGCAGCGAGGCCGCACCTGTCCGCCTGCACAAGTAACATACACACAATACTCGCAAAGGATTCAGTCAGTCCGCCTCCGTCGATCTCCCAAAAGGATTTGGTCAGTCCGCCTCCGTCGATCTCCCAATGTAGCGAACGGTCGGGTAACCGGTCGACGCCCTATACCCACTTACACCTATTTTTTAGGCCTACACCTATTTTTTAGGCCTAGTTGTGCACGACTCACATCCGACAACAGCCGTCGACGACCCACATTGTGAATGCAGCTGGACAAACGTCGCTGCCTCGGTGCACTCGTCCCCACCCGGCCCTAAAGCTAGGTTCTATACGCAGCCACCGGGCAAAACGCATCCATCTATAGGCAGCCATTCCTGGCTGCGAACAAGCACCTAGGCAAGGCAAGCTGGCGCCCACGGACACATCCTACCGTCCTTCCCCTAACAAGGTTGCCGGAGCTACTTAGAGCAGACCCCCCCTGATAGCTCTTCTAGTGTTTTTGTTCCCCTCTTTTTTTGGACGGGGTTGCAGGCACCCCGGCTAAGCCGAGACCCCTACCCCCTGCTCAGCCCCAGTTGAAGCGCGACAGGGCTGGCAACGTGGCTTGCCCTTGGGCAGCTACCATAGATCAGTGAGCCCGTCTGCTATCTGTTGTACTACGCGCAGGGCCTCCGGAAGCGTAGCGGGCTGGGCTACACCGTCTGGGAGGGCAGTGGCGGGTCGCTCCCTTGCTCCGACGCAGTGCGTGCCCTCTGCAGCAAGGCAAGGCTGTGACCGTTGCAACCTTGCCTCCCCGTGACGACGGATTCGGGTGATTCGTCGCGCCAAGCGCAGGCTGGGAACTGATTGGTGCCGTCGAGGGTAGGGAGGGAACTTACCCCTCGGCGAACCTTCCCTCCGCTGGCGTTCGTGAAGTTCTCCGCCGAGTCGAAGGCGCGCTAGCCAGGCAGGCAGGAAGGCAGGAAGGAAGGAAGGAAGGAGCAGCTTTAGGAAAGATGGCACTACCATCGCCGTCGCCGTCCACAGTGGCCCCGTGCCCATCTCCATCTCCATCGTCATCCTCATGGGGATCTGTATCAGGTTCTTTGTCGCTCGGCGGGCGACGTTGCTTGTGCTCGGGGGGGACTATGAAATTGTCGACAGCGGCATGCCACCACGCCCGCGACATGCCCTACAGGACGGATCTGCGGCTAACTACTCTGTCTTCGCTATTAGCAGCCCGATTACTATCGTTGTCTTCCTCCCACTATTCCTCCTTCTCCTCCTCCTCCCCATCATCATCACCATCATCATCATCATCATCATCATTATCACCATCATCATTATCCTCTTCTTCTTCTTCCTCTTCGTCGCCATCATCGTCATGGTTGGCACGCGCCTGGATTGTCCGGCCGCGGGCGGGACCATCTTCGTCCTTTCTCTCAGGCCTTGCAGTTCCGTCTCGGCGGGACGAGAACGATGGGCCGTCGCTGTTATCGGCGACGGGACCGTCGAGAAATCGGAGAGAGGAGGAGGGAGGGGTGCGGAGAGGGGGAAGGATAGTCTGCATGGCTCATCCGAGGCGCGTGAAGATGGTTGCCCAACAGATAAAGCGGGAGATCGCCGAGATGCTGCTTCGCGACACAGTGCTGAAACAGGCGGTACTGCCGGAGACCGCTCTGGGTGCGGACAAGTACCTCACATCAGTCGCGACTGTGACTGACGTGGAGCTTTCCAACGATCTGCAGGCTGGTGCCCGGATATCCAATCTTCCCCCCCCCCCCCCCCCCCCCCTTTCTCTCGCTCTCTTGGTCTCCCACTTTCCGTGTTTTTTTTATGCTGTTCTAGTGTTTTTGTTTCCTTTTTTTTT